AACCTGAAATTCAATAATGACCATTGTCATCACCATCCCTTACAGAAATCCCAGGCATGTGGGATTCATGCACACCTGGCTTCCTAGGGAGACACTTCCCCGTGTGGATCGTAATGGTTCATGTTTGATGAGTGACAACGACAAGCACACACAGCTCTTATTAATTGTCCAGGGTTGTTTCTTGATGTCATTGTTTTATGATGAAGAAAGGCTAGTGCTTTAAGTGTATAAATGGTCAGTATCGAATACATCACTGTTAGTTCCTCATCCATTATGGAACCTTAAACAGTGACATTTCTCATATTAAAAATGGTTTTACTTGTCTATTGAATATTTTAGTCCTGAAAGTATAAGAAAAAATAACATGATAAAACAGCAGAGTGTCTTCTATCCCAACTATGGAATGGTAGAAAAAAACCAGATACTTCAGCTAAAACCAGAGGAAGGAAATCAAATTTGGGGAAGAAGGGACCAAGAAGCAGATAAGGGGGCAGGATGGGAGAGGTCAATGGTGGGAAAAGGGGACATAGGTAATACTTTCAACAATAAAGATTAAAAAAATAAAGAAATAAGATAAAATAAATAAATAAATAAATAAATCTATCCAAAATGTTTCCAGTCACTAGGATTCATCATTTCCCCCAAAGAACAAAAGGCCATTAACACTGGAAAGACTGAAATTTAGTATATACCTATTTTGCCCAAAAGCAGTCAAAATGACTTCCTTGGGCAATCTAGTGTTAAAAGTGGAGACTAGTTTCTTAAGGGGATGGAACTTAAATGTCTACAGAGCTAAACAGAGAAGGTAGGCAAGTGAAGCCAGCCAGGTATAGGAAAAATCACAAGGCCTTTGTCTTTTCATATTCGATAGAAATGTGGGTGTACAGAACTCTTCCCTGACCAGAAGGGAAAGCACAGGATGGGCGTGATGATAAATGGCAGCTGCTCCTTGGTCTAAGTGTTGGGAGCAATGGAGAGCTGGGACCGGGATGACCTGGGGGGGACATGCACACTTAATGGGGTCGGCTTCAACTTCCCTTCAAGCATTTAACAGAAGGCTGCCTCATGGGAATGCCAGCCCTTATTCTTCTGGATTTAAAAAAAGTAGAAATCTGGATTTTTTTAAAAAAACATAAAATTACCTGATTTTTAAAATGTTGCTTTGATCTGAAAAAGTATGCTGGTCAAGTAAAACATATTGCTGAGCTAGCTCTGCACTTTTTTGATCTCTACTTTAAAGAAACAAGGTATTTCCATGTATTCATGGTTTCTTGATTCCACTATGACAGTGATGGCGAACCTGACATGAGTGTCAGAGGTGACACACGAACTCATTTTTTTGGTTGATTTTTCTTTGTTAAATGGCATTTAAATATATAAAGTAAATATCAAAAATACAAATCTTTGTTTTACTATGGTTGCAAATATCAAAAAATTTCTATACGTGACATGGCACCAGAGTTAAATTAGGGTTTTTCAAAATGCTGACACGCCGAGCTCAAAAGGCTCGCCATGACTGCACTATGATCTAAGAGGAGCATTGGTGAGGTCAGCATTACTAAGATGTTAGCATCAGCCCAATTAAGACTATAAGGAATGCCACAGTGATTCAGATCAATGGGCCAATCAGTTCAAGATTTTGTTTCTCAGAGTGGCTCCCAGGAAGCATCTGGGAAAGATTTAACTCTCATCTCTTTGACTCAAGTCCTCAAAAATGAGGGTAGTTCCACAAGCATTTCTGATTTTCTTGTTTTTGATTCATAAAACATCTCAAGTGCGGAGATGGTATAAACAACACATCTCCTAGTTTTACCAAAGCTTAATATCATAGTCACTTCAAATATATTTTTTAAATTTAAAAGTAAAACGTGGACCCTGTCAATGCTCTTGGTTACCACTCCTTCCCTAGAGGTACCATCATCCCAAACTTCATGTTGATCATGTCCATGAATGTTTCCCTAGCTTTAAAAAGTGTTAATCTGCCCTAGCTGGTTTGGCTCAGTGAATAGAGCATTGGCCTGAGGACTGAAGGGTCCCAGGTTCAATTCCAGTCAAGGGCACATGCCGGGTGTGGGCTCGATCCCCAGTAGCGGGTGTGCGGGAGGCAGCCAATCAATGATTCTCTCTCATCATTGATGTTTCTATCTCTCCCTCTGCCTTCCTCTCTGAAATCAATAAAAATATATAAAAAATAAAATAAAGTGTTAATCTTCTATCTAGTAGCTTAGTCTAAAAACCTGAACTATTTATAGGTATAGGCACAACCTGAACAACCTCTTAAGTTCTAGAAAAAAAAAATCCAGAAGTAAGACCACTGACCTTATTTAATATTTCCACATAATTACGTTTTCTCCTGGAATAAAGATTTTTGTTTTTCCCACCCATCTTGAGTGAGATGACAAAAAAAATGTAATAATGAGAACAAATATTCTTTGGATAAAGATAAAGCATTACCCACATGCAAGGTTCTAGCACTTTATTAATGAATTCCTTATATGTCTTACTCCCTTCATAAAGTACTATTTTATTCTATTTGTTCTCAGACTGAATTGAGGGAGTGGCCCCCCATTCTTCCTGAATAAGAGTTTTCCTGGCCAGCCTGAGTTCATAAACTTTGACTAAAACCCTTCTCAGCCTTTGTCTTTCCAGACAAAGAGGTGGAATTGTTTTATGTCCCCCCAAATGAAAAGTATTCTATTGCAATTTTCCAAATTGCTTTTTAAGCCTTTTCTAAGTCTGTTTATATTTCTGGAGGCACAGTAGCCAAGATTGCCTACAGTATTACAGGTGCAAAATGTTTTGCTTAGGTGAAGATTTATTCAAGCATTTGAACATCATTACATGTAAGTAAACAAAAAACAAAACAAAACCCATCCATATCAAAACACAATGAGAGACCACCTCACACCCATTAGGATGGCTACTTTCAAATACCAAATGTTGGTGCAGATGTGGAGAAATGGATACCCTTGCATACTGTTGGTGGGATTGTAGAATGGTGTGGTTGTTGTGAAAAATATTATGGTGGTTCCCCAAAACATTAAAATAGAATTATCAAATTGTCCATCAATTCCACTTCTGGGTATATACCCCAAAATATTGAAAGCAGGGTCTCAAAGAGATGTGTTGTTTATACTGTCTCTGCACTTGAGATGTTTTATAAGCCTGTATTCATTTCTGGGAATGATCTTGGCTTTTTCAGACCTTTCTGGATCTACTTCAAGTTTATTTCGCACCCACTGTATTTCCAGCACAGTCTCAGCATCAGGATTGCAACACAAACCAGCACACCTCTGCCCTCTAGCTGCCCTCAGTCAAGTGGAAGAGTGGGTATGGACGCACATGGGGGATGAAGGGCCACACTGGCAGCACGTCCATGGTGGTGCAAAGGTAAGTTCCGTGGACCCTGCTGGAGGGGAGGATGGTTCTGGTGAGGAAAGGTCCCTCCAGGGCAAGGCATTTGAACTGAGTCATAAAGAACAGATAGGGCTTCTCCAGGTGCAGAAAGGGGGAAAAGACAGTGGGGACCAGATGTGCAAAGGCATGAAACACAGGTGAGGGAGATGAAACCACAGGATTCCTTCAGGGAAGTGTCAGTTGTCTCCACGAAGCACAGAGCAAAGTGGGGGAAAGGAAAGTAGCCTCACAGACACAGGCAGGAGCCAGATGGCCCAGAGCTCATTTGCTTTCGGAGAAGAGAGAAAAAAGCTGGGAGGGGAGGTCTGTAGATCTTGGCTATCGCAAAAAGGATGGAGTTGAGAGATGTTAAGGAAGGCGCATTCAAATGTGTTTACATCATTTTACTTGCTCTGCAAGTGATTAAAACCTGAAACCGCCAGCCACGTACATCCTAAAGTCATACCTGCAAGATGTTTCATGTTGGCATCGTGCCTGAAATCTATACTCTCGTTTAAAAAGTGAAGTGAGACAGAGCAGACCCGGTGGCTCATTACCCTGCTGGCTGCTAGCGCATGCTTCTTGTTTTTTGGAGTTAACTTTGATGGAATTCCATGGCTTGGTTTCCAATTGGAAATCAAAGTTCTCTTCCCTGGAGATCAAGTTCCCGCATGGAGGGTTTTCTCCTCGAGAACACTAGGTCAGAGGAGCTCTGTCATGAAGGAGGTACCCTGCTAGCGCCACGTCTAGAAGATACCAGCCATGTTAAGTTGGGCGTGCTGGACAGAGAAGCCTAGCTGGAGGAATTTGGGTCCAGGAGTGGAAATGAGAGGTGCTGACAACTCGTCAGGTCGGTTTTTTTTATCTGTCCTGGGTCACCTGAAAGAACTTGACCCTCGGCATACAGACAAGACCACGGGGCTGGGCCAATAGGGAAGGTGGGAAGAAACCCGATCAGCTAAGGCAGAAGCTAACTAAGCTGGTACCCCCGGATTTGGGCAGGCTCTCTAAGTGCCCTAGAGTTAACCCAGCTGAGCTAAGTCTTCAAAAAGGCATCACCTCTTAGGTGGTAGTAGTGAACTACTACCAGAAAGTATGTAAAATACTGTAAATTTCAATTTCCTAACAATTATTACAAGCTGTGAATAAATCATTCACTCTAATACTAATAAACCATTGAAAGTTCCTCAAAGATCTATCTAGGTTCATATATATCGCATAGAATTCCAGTCAGAATGTCATACTCTTTGAAACAACTTTGCCCAAATATTTAAAAAAAAAAATTGACCAAGAGTTCCCAAGGTCCACCATCAAATCCTTGACTTCTATAATATTTAATCCAGGCTTCCTCCCTTCCTCCACCCTCCTGTTCTCTGAAGCCCCTCAGACTGTTACAAAAGTCTAAGACCAGAAAAGTCATGTTGAAACACAAACCGAATGCCTTATCCTCAATACAAGTTCATTTTTATAATCTAGGTCATTGGTTACGAAGGTATAATGAAGTGCCAACCCCCCAAATGTTCACTGACGGTTAGTGATCGTGAGGAAGGTCAGCGAACCATTTGAGCAAATGAGACGAACAAGCGAAAAATCGGGGGTCTCACCCAGCTCCACATCCTGGTCGTCGGTGAGCACAAGGATAATGTTGGGCCGGATGTTCTTCCGCTCCTGCGGTATCCGTCTTCGGAACCTCGGGGACCTGACCGTGGATCCGAGGCTCCCCAGCAGCTCTGCGCCCAGCACAGCCAGAACCAGAGCCCAGCAGAAGCGCTTCATTCTGTGTGGTCCGCTGTCGCAAGCGGCACAGCGTCCCAGCCTCCTGGCTTCTGCAGGACTGAGCAGTCAGAGAGAAAGCGAGAGGGAGAGACTGAAATGAAATCCAAACCCCAAACACAGTTGCAGAAAAAGGGCTTCAGCTAAGTGAGACCTGGCACATTCGCTGGCAGGGAGCAGGCTGCACAGGAGTCAGAAGCCGCAAACCCTCGCAGGCAGGCGCTGGGTCCTTTTTTTTTTTTTTTTTTTTTTTTTTAAAGCACTTGATTATTTTGCAAATTCACTTTCGTCCTTTAGTCTCATTCCAACTTTTCCTATTTCAGTTCATTGCCAAGATATCACTTCCAACACAGGGCTCGAATGCAAACGCTTTCTGACAAGGGCTAATACCTTGACTTAGGTATCCTGGTGGAAAAATCAATGTCTCTACTCAGAGGTGTTCAGAACATCTGTAGATGGGGTCCTGCAACATAGGAGAGAAAAATACAAAGAAAACACCGGTCAAGGATTTTGAAACAGGTTTTTGATTTGAATTAGTCTCTTAACACAACATAATGTGTGCTATATATTCATATATTCTATCATCTATCTATCTATCTATCTCATCTGCAAGCCAAAGGGAGAAACAGAATTAAATAACATTAACAACTGCTAACAAATGACTTAAACATCTTCATTCCGATAATCAGCTCTATAAATGGCACTAAGAATATCATCCCCACTCACACCCTAATTGCACTTTAAACATCCCCCCAAAACTAGTGACGGGTCAGGAAGAGCCAGCGGTGCCTGTGAAACCACAGTGCATCTGCACAGCTCATCCAGGGGGGTGTTTGGGGGAGGGGGGCGTCTGGCACAAGAGGTTGTGTTGGAGGAGCGTTAACTCACCTGCATAGTAAGATATTGCGAACTTATCAAGTAGAATGCAATGCAAAGCTGTCATTTGTCATCTGCATTATGTCACTCACTACCCGGGAGAGTTCTTTTTTGCTGACAAAGACTTCACAGAAAGGAGGGCAAATGTTCCCAGCCTCTGAAAACCTCCTCACTGTCCTCCATCAATCACCAGGGGGAGAGGCGCTTCCTCCGAGCAAGGCTGGTCCCTCCGTCCAGCCCGCGTCCTCAGCGCGCTGGCGCCTAAGGGGACAGAGCCCTCCTTTGACTGTCAGCACCAGCCTCGCTATTATCAAGCCCCGGTGCAGCGCCGCCAGCACAGAGGTTGCGTTTTGCTGCCGCAGATCTAAACCTGCAAAGCAAAATGATTGATGGGCTCCGAGGCTGGGGGTTAGAGGCTACTCTCCCACGTTAATAAATAAATAAAATCCAGAGGGAGCACTGCAACATCTTGGCCAGCCTGTCCAGGAGGGGGGAGTTTGAAAGGGCTGGAAATGCTCCTCTTGCTTTGGAACACACACTTGCCACAAGCTTTTCTTGTGGACTTCTGAAAGATGGCAAAGGGCTCATTAAAAAAAACAAAAAAATCTGTCCCTTGGATGTCATGAGGCAACATCTGTACGGGAGTTCAGGCTGCCCTAACATCAACTAGGAGGCAGCCCCCTTCACCCATGCCTCTGTCCCCACACACCTGAGGGTCTGTATTTTGATCTGCAACAATAAACTGGCATCAAATAAATAAATATAATGAGCTAAGTGTGAGGATAGTGTAGCAGGAGGGAAGGGCCTCCATCGCTCACTTCCACGCCTTAAATTCTGGAGGTTGGCGAAGGCCATGGAAGAAAGACACTGTATTGTGTACCCCAGCCACGCACAGCATTTTGTTTACATAAACACCCCCCCATTATTTTAAACTTTATGAGCTGTTTTGTAAACATTTCTAATGCTTTTCACTCTGCAGCCTATAATTAGAGAGAGAGAGAGAGAGAGAGAGAGAGAGAGAGAGAGAGAATGCAACTCGACAAGAAATAAGCTTTTAAACAAAAATCTAGTGTCTGCAGCAAGGCAGTCCTGACTCCATGATCTGCCAAGCAACCAGCAAGCTCCCTCTGATGGCCCCTGTGGCTCTGAGAGTCCATGTGGAAGGGTTTTTTGGTAACAGCCCAGGGTTATTTCCATCATTGCTGGGCATGCTGAACACTGGAAGCCACAATTGTTCTGAACCGACTCTTTGGTTTCTGTGCATTTGTTTTAAATCATGAGAAAGCTGATATGAGCACAAAGGGACAGGAAAATGAAAGAAATACGGTGTCAAACAATGTCTTTCTCCCAAAGAGCGTGCACCAGGCTCTGTTAAATACAGAAATTTCTTAGAGGGTTGGTCCTTTAAGCAGCCAAACTTTGCCCACTTCTCAGACCGAGCAAGGGTGTGTGAAGAGAGCAAGCAGGGCTTTCTTGCATCTTCTATCTTAGAAACCAACCTCTGCTGACGGCAGTGACTGAAGGACAGTCAGACTCACGGTGTGGGGTTTAGTCAGCCACACACGTAATTGAAAATTCCGACAATTAAGATGCTGATAACATTCCCTGGAACCCAATCAACATGACTATTCTTCTCCTTATCTTATTTACTTTACTTCTTCCTTTAGGAAAAAAGGAAATTAGTATTAATGGTCCCTTATATAAACTACATTGAAA